CAGAGCCGGTGATGTAAGAAATTCATGACTGGGCTTGAAGCCACACAGCCCAGGCTCTGTCCTGAGCAAATCAGAGGAGGAGACAGGGACAGGACACCGCCCATCTGTGGGACAGGAGGATCACCCTCCAAAGCCCTGTCTATCAGACCTTCATGCCTCTACACCACTCAGCCTGGCCTGCCTCTGCCAAGTAGAAGCACAGGTTCCACCTGGGCCAAAAGCTCTCAGTGCATGGGTACCACAGGTGCCAACAGGGCTGGCAGGGAGGCTAAGAAGCGTGGCAATTCCTGGAAGGTAGAGAAAATGCAACTTCCTGCCCTCCATCCCCATTCTGGGTCTGGGGTAGGGGGCTCAGAAGCCTGGTTTTTTTTACTCCTTATTGTAGAAGGAATCAAAGGTTATAAGAGTGGAGAGACAGAGGGAACGAGCCATATCCCCCATCCTGCCGTTCCTAAAAAAATCAGCTGGACCCCTCTGGTTTCCTCTCTGCTCCTCTCACTCTCCCATGCCAGATGATTGCGCAGAAGATCCCAGACCTCAGAGCACAGCATCTGTGAACATCTCAGCATTCCCTATAAAAGATAACACTGAACCCAGGGGGGTCCACCACCAAACTATACCCCCAGCCCTTTCCATTTTTATTTTAAGATGGGGTCTTATGGGCTGGGGTTGTGGCTCAGCATGGAGCACTCACCTAGCTAGTGTGAGGCACTGGGTTCAATCCTCAGTACCACATAAAAATAAATAAATAAAATAAAAGTATTGTGTCCAACTACAACTAAAAAAAAAAGTGGGGGGGCTGGAGTTGTGGCTCAGTGGTAAAGCACTCACCTAGCATGTGCAAGGCCCTGGGTTCGATCCTCAACACCACATAAAAATAAGTAAACAAAATAAAGGTATTGTGTCTAATCAAAAAATAAAGAAAAAAAAAAGATGGGGTCTTGTTCAGTTGCTCAGGCTGACCTCAAACTTGTGATCCTCCTGCCTCAGCCTGCCGAGTAGCTGGGATTAGGCACGCTACAGTGGTGCATACTTCTGAGGAGGCTGAGGCAGGAAAGTCTCTTGAGCTCAGGCTTTAGAGGCAAACCTGGTCAACACAGCAAGACCATATCTTAAACATTCACATACACATACACACACACACACATACAAGCTCAAAACAATGATCCCACCTAAAATATGTAATGCAAAGTCCTTGACATCATTGACTATCAAGGGACAGTTTGAATTTGTTCCATTAAGTCCTAAGCTTTCTGAAGTCTGCATTTGAGGACCTTATTCGCAATTGCTGAAAGTTAGGAAGAGCCCAGCTGCTCCTGGACTGGTGAGGAAAGCAATCAGTTTCGATGTCCAGGGAACGGAAGATTACCAGGCGACACAGAGAAAGAGGCACACACACACCAGCCAGGTCACAGACACGGTGCTGCGGAGTCCGCCAGTATGAAACTCTACAAAAGGCAAAACTGGAGGGAGAGAAAACAGATCTGTTTGCAGTGATGAGGAAGGGAAATGACTGCCAACGGACAGATGGGGACTTTCCAGGGAGATGGAAATATTGTTATGACAAGGTGGCCATCATACAGGTGTACACATGTCACAACTCAGCGAACTGCAAGTTTAACATAGGTATGTTTAGTGTCAGTACATCCCACCTCACAGGTGGTGGTGCTGGTGGTATTCCTGCAGTGTGGGGACTGAACTCAAGGCTCAGGCATGCTAGATGATCACTGAGCTACATAAGCCTTTTTTTTTTTTTTTTTAATTTTGAGACAGGGTCTTGCTAAGTTGCTCAGGCTGGCCTCCCTGCCATCCTCCTGCCTGGGCCTCCAGAGCCCTGGGATCACAGGCAAAGACTGCATCTTCACTAGGGTCCCCACATCCCAACAGGAAGGGAGCCAGCTCTGTACATTACTTCCTGGACTCTTCAGAATATTAGCTGAGTGATTTCTGTAAATCAGATTCTGTTTTCACTAATTCCATTGTAAAGCCAAAGATGGGGCCCCAAGGGAAAATGTTCCAACCCCACAACACATTACCACTCAACCAGCGTCCACTGGCACGTCTAGGAGACCCAGGCTCCAGGGCAGGCATTCTCGGTCACACACACAGAGCAGCCCCTGCTCTCGGGCGCGGCTGCAGATCTGCATCTGAGAGCAGGACAAGCAAAACGACCCCCCCCCCCCGCACACCTCATACACCTCCCCACAAGCAGGCTCTGAGGTTATGTGCCTGCTAGGCCCCTTATACCAAGTCTCCCTCCTCTGGCACAGCTGTGGGAGGGCTGGCTGTCTCTCTCTAGGCTGGCTCAAAATGAGGAGGGCACGACATCCACAGCCCACACGGGCCTGGCTGCCCAAGCTGTGGCTCTCATCCTTTGTCTTTGTGTGTGTGTGTGTGTGTGTGTGTGTGTGTGTTGCTGGAGACCAAACCCAGGGCCTCGTGCATACACACAGCAAGCACTCTACCAACTGAGCTATATCCCCAGCCCGGCTCTCTCTTTCGTGAGCTCATGTTTGTAAGTGTCAGATATCACCCCTCACAATACTCACAAGACAGGCACTGTGCATTTCAATTTATAAACACAGACACCGAGGTCTGGGGAGATTAAGGGATGTGCCTGAAGCAAGAGGCAGAGCAGGGCCTGGAACTCAGGCCACCGGCCTCCTGGGCCAGTGCCCCACCTGTCACATAGAGCTTCCACTGACTTGCAAGGCGCCAAGCAGTGGGCACTCAGAGCTACCGATGAGCAGCAGGGGCTTGAAGGTGAAGCAGCGTGCTCAGGTCACTCTGTGTCCACAGGGCAGAGGCTAAACCCATCCCTCCCTCAGGCCTAGGATACAGAGTGCCTACACCCCTGCCCACACTTGCTTTGAAGCTACATTCCTTCAATAGCTTCTGAACTGAGACAGGTGATTACCCTAGTTTCTAGGAGGGTGAGGACTCTGGCACCCTTGCCCTGCTAGGCTGTGACCACCCTCAAGACAGGCAGACTAAATTTTCCACTCCTCAGCTTCCCTCCCAGGGCTCTGCTCCTGCTGGTGTCCAGTGAAGAGTGAAGTCTTGTTAAAATTCATGGCTTGGATGAGCTAGGCCAGGTGGCTCCTCTTTCAACTCAGGTGCTGGCTCAGATGTCCTTAAAGGGCTCCCTACCCTGCTATACCCACTCTCCGGTGTCCAGGGTTTCCAAGGGGCAAGCCAGAGTGACCACCACCCTTTCCACTCCCTTCCCTTGGCATTCATGTTCTTTGCCTGAGGCCCACCTCAGCCAGGATCCTGCTCTGGCATCCCTCAGCCAAGGCTGCCACTTAGGGACAATATGCATCTGTCATTCTGGGGTAGCAAAAGGCAATCTTGTAGAAGCAATAGGTAAGAAAAAGTACACACATGTGCTTGTCAGTTTATGCAAGTGTCTAATGCTGGAGAAAAACTATTYGAAGCTAGTAGAAAAAAAGTATTATTGACTGATAATCATCACCCTGATAAGAAGTAAATAAGAGCCCAGCCCTTCTAGGGTAGATTCAGACCAGTATTTTCTTTATTTGCCAGAGGAGTGGAAGAACTGTAATCAGAAGACCAGGGCGGGACCTGCCTCCAGAGCTCTGGAGCTGGATGAGTTTATTGAGTTACTCAATTTCCTCCTCTACACAGCAGGAGGGGTGGAGATACCCACCACCCGACCTCCAAGGGAAGCTGGGCAAATTGTGAGATGAGACAGCTAAAAACCCTCTTGTAAACAATGAAGCCCAAGATACCCCTAAATCAGCCAGATAAGAAGACCTGATTCCAGGCCCATCCACATCCAAATATCAGTAATTGCTATCACCTTTGCCCCTGAAGGGCTGGAGTGAGTGGGGCCAGGAGAGCCACCTAACAAAGAAAATTAATCAGGGCTTCCCCAAAGACTTCCCTCTAGGAAAATCAAAACTGACCTTGAAGTGGGAAAAGGACCTCAGCCAAGACAGAAGGCTAACTGAGCTCCACTTAATAGCACTTATCAATACACCCAGCCTTTTACGGAGACTGTAACATCCACAGGAAAAGTAACCTGTCCCATGGGGGTAAGGTTTGGGCCCAAGGTCAGCGGGATACCCAACTTCTGCATTTGAGGCACCCACCCCCAAAACTCTCACTAGGGGTCCATGGCAGGTGGCCACAGTGGCCAGACTCCTGATCCTTACTTAGCTCATGCACAAATGCCAGCTTTCCCCGGCTTCCATTCTGCCAGACGCAGAGTAACCTTGAGGCTGCCCTCCCCGCTCCTATGAGAAACCAATTCGCTCATGATCTCCAGCTTCCTCTGGGGGTTCCGGTTTTATCTAAGCTGGACCCATGGAGGAAGGATGGGGGAATGGAGCATTTTTACAACAATACTTGCCCCTATTGTGTAAGATGCTTCCAGGCGGATGCACCACTCATTCCCTTTGCTGAGCAGTGAACCGCTAGAGAAGAAGAGCAGTATCTGTTCCTCGTTTTAACACCTGCTCTCCCCTCCACCAAAGCAGAGCACTTCAGAGATGGTAGATCTGCAGCCCCCTCCCACAGGGGTACACACCCACGAGCTCGAACGAGGGCATCTACGTGCATCTCTGGGTGCTCAGGTTCGCTCAGGCACCGCGGCCGAGGTAACCTCCCGAATCCTGCAGGAGCCGGGGCTGGGGCGCGGGGCCCGGGGCGCGGCGAGCTGGGCACGCCACCAGGGCTGTGCGCCGCCCCCGCCCGTCGCCGGCCCGGTCCGGTCCCGCTTCCTCCACCGTAAGCCGGGTGACGGCGGCCGCCGCCCTTGGGATGCGGCCGGGAGGCCGGTGGGAGGAGCCGACGGGGCCGCCCGGTTCCGCAGCATCGCGAGGCGCATCCCTGCCAGGGAGGGGGTTCCGGGCATCGGATCGCAGCGGATGCCGGTGGGGGCGGCATCCGCGGGCGAGGCCGGCGGGGAAGGGGAGGCGCGGGCGGCGGGGTCCGGGCCGGGCCGGGGGCGCCGCGGGCGCGCGCCGCCGTCTTACCGGCAGATCTGGATGGCGGACGGCGTCTCGGCGACGGGGCCCGACATGGTGGCGGCGGCGGCGGCGGCGGCGGTGGCGGCCGGGGGCGGAGGGAGCAGAGCGCAGGTGTCCGGCGGGCCCGGCGCGGAATGAATGAGCCCGGGCGGCGCCATGGAGGGGGAGGGCGGAGGCGGAGCCATCGCGCCGGCGAGGCGGGCCCTGCGCGCCGGGGGCGAATCGCGCGCGGGCGCCCCGCGCTGGCCCCGCCCCCTCTCTGGCCCCGCCCCGCGGGCCGCCAAGGCCGCTGGCGCCGGCGCAGGCCGCGCGCTCCGACGACGGCGGGGGCGGCTGTGGGGGCGCCGCTTCCAGAAAGTTCGGGGGCGGTTGCGCGGCACCGCTGCGGGGCGGGCACGCGAGCCGCAGCCGTCCCGAGCGCGCCGACCGGTAGCCAGGTCGCAGAGCTCGGCGGGCGCGGGCGCTGCCTGCCTGCGCCGCGGCCGAGTGAGTGCGGGGCGTTCCCTGCGCCCGCGCGGCGATTCGCTGCCGGCGCCGGGCCGGGCTCCGGGTGAGGTCAGCGGGGAGGGCCCCGAGTGCCGGCACACAGCCGAGAGCTGCCCGCCCTGCCCCCGCGCCCCAGCGGTGCCCCCAGGGGAGCCACGAGGTCGCGAAAAGCCTCTTCCTCTGGGGGACTCGGGGCTGCTACTGCGGAGCGCGTGGCCAGAGCAGGGACCGGACTTTGCCGCAGCGGCGCTGAGTGCCCCGGTGGGCCACGGACCCCAGGGCGCACTGGACCGCGCCGCCCGGCCGGACTCCAGAAACACATCCTGGAGGCACCCAGCGCCAGCTTGGGGTGCACGTGCTGCGCGGAGCAGCCTGAAGCCTGTCGCCCTGCTACCGAAGGAGGAAGAGGCGGTCACCCCTACATGCTAGCACCACAGCCGTTTACCTGCTAAGCAGTTGCCTTATTACGTTTTCTACATTGAACGTGGATTTGTACTCAGATTTAAGAAAATAGAGCTCACAAAACGGAAGCTCCCCAGGACGGTTTCAGCGATCCATTTATGCTCTACCAGGAGCGAGGAAAGAGCTGTGCCTCATCCTGGGTGCTTCTGCAGAACCAGAGAGTGAAAGCAGCCCTTAGGCACGATCTGCATCTCCCAGGGCAGAGCACAGCCCCTAAGAGTACGCTTCAGGGCTGGAAGTGTAGCTCAGTGGTCGAAGCCTCGCCTGGCATGCCGGAAGCCCTCAGTTTGGTCCCCACCGCTGGGCCTTTGAATCTGTTTTCTAGGGTGAGTTAAGGTGACTCAACATCAAAGGCCATCAAATCAACCTATTAAATACCACTTCCCCATAAGCGTCCTGAGTCAGAAGGCACTTTCCATATCTGATAAATGGGAGTAATTCTGCCACGCGACCAGCGCTGCGCTGGCTTCATGAAGGAAGGTGCGATTCATGAGTAATTGCTGGGGAGTTTTAAATTAAAGAATCAAGACTCATTACCTTTAATACCAGCTCCTGAAAGGCTTCTCCTAGCTCCTGCCTCCAGCCACCTAAAACGATAGTCTCTTTTGTAAACCTCCCTATCGACAGAGAGAGAAAACGCCAGGGAGTGGACTTTTATTGGGGAACAAAAAATTCCAGGGGAAAATCCCATGCAATGAAGGTTAAGGGGGGCAGCATCCCAAGGTCCTGGGCGACGATTGGGTCTTCAGGGCAGTGGACGGGCTCGCCTCTGCACGGACAAGCCCTCCCTCGGACCTGGGAAAGGGTGGGGAAAGCTCTAATACAGCTGTGTCTAAGCACCTCTCACCTAGCCAGGGAGGTAACTCAAATCACGTTCGAGGATAGCCTCCCACAAGTAATAACATATGCCTCTCTGACTTTTATGAGCATTAAACATCATGCATGCACTGGGCATAGCAGGTGAAACTAGGACTTCCCCTTGGTTCTCTTCCCATCTCTAACTTCCCTAACTCTGCCACCCTTCCCAGGTAGTAAATGCAAAGTAGCAAGCAAGCCCTACCCTGTTTACGTGAGTGAGCTCAGACCAGAGATAATTCCTCAAAAAGTTCCAACACTTTAATGAGAGAGAAATCAGGGCCCCCAAAGCCTGACTTGACCCCCACCCTGGAGTAGAACAATTCCTAGACCAGAAGTATGGGTTGAGTGGGTCAGGATTAAATAGCCTGGCCCCCTCCAGAAGGCGAAAAAGATCTCAAACAACCCCTGTAATATTAGGGAAGGGTGTGGCTATCCTTTGGCCCATGATAGTATCTGTCTACCCAATTCATTTTATAGATGCCAGATAGGCATGGGAAAGAAAAGAGCCCAGCCCCAGGAATTGTGTCCTGATTCCATAGAAAACAGTGCTCCAGATGATTATTTTGAGGCTGCCCTGTCTTGAGGATAGTCTGGGGGGCCATCCCTAAACTGAAACTGAATTATTATTTTTAGAGAATTTTAATATTTATCTTTAAGTTTTCGGCGGACACAACATCTTTGTTTGTATGTGGTACTGAGGATGGAACCCGGGCCGCACGCATGCCAGGTGAGCTCACTACTGCTTGAGCCACATCCCCAGCCCCCAAAACTGAATTATTTTAGCCACAGTGCTAATGGGTTTGCACTGAGCTCTCCTTCCACAGTCTCTCACATTGTTTTCTGCTTTCTCCTTAAGCTCCTGGGCCTTTAAATTCCTSACTTTGAGCAACACTTCTTAAAAGAGCTGCTTGTGCCCACAGCTGCTGTCCTCCCCTCCTCCCAGTCCCCTTTGAACCCATGCCATCTTGATTTCTGTCTCTACTGCTCCACTTAGCAGAGTTTCTTAATTCCTTCCCAGCTGCTAAACCCAATAATCCCTTGTCAGACAGAAGTCACCTTCCTTGGGGCTCAGTTGGAACAGTGCTTTCCTCACATGCGCACGGCCATGGGTTCAATCCCCAGCACCACAAAAAAAAAAAAAAAAAGTCATCTTCATGGTTGCAGCCTTGAGTGACATTGTCCCTCTTCTGGAAGCCCTTCTCCTTTGCTTCCAGTACCCCCACATTGCTTTTCCTCCCTTTTGCTGACCATGCTACTTAGTCTGCTCTGCATGGTTGCCTCGCTCCCCTGCCCTCTTCTCCTCTCAGGACTTTGGAAAGGCCTAGCAGTGCCTGTACTGTCCAGGTCCCACTGTGTCTTGAGAGTTAATTCCCATCTACACAATAATTAGCTCTGGCCAGCCCAGCCTCTCCCCTGAATTCCAGATTGACATATCCACTGCCTGAAGCTGTTCACCTCCTGCTCTTCTGTTCCTCACCTCCCAGAGCTTGCCCCCTCAGGTCTTCCCCCAGCTCTGTGCCTTGCAACACAGAACTTCCGCGTACTTCCTTCCACATGCTCAGGCCAAGAGCCAGGAGTCATCCTGCACTCCTCTCATGTCCTTCTTGCAAACCATCAGTAAATCCTGCAAACTCTATATTCAAAATAAATCTAGAACTGATGGCTTCTTCTCATTGTGGGGTTCAAGACTGCCGCCGCCCACTTCATCTCCTGCTCCAGCCACTCTGCCCTCCCTTGATCATGCCAGGCATGCTCAGAACCTTGGCTTCTGCCCCTCCAGGCTCCTGGAAGAGTGCCTAGCACGTAGTGGATGCTCCATAAAAATGTCATCAACAACTCAATCTGGAGAGATGCTCCTTGACTTATGGGGTCACGTCCCAAAAACCCACAGTGAATTGAAAAATATCTTCAGTCAAAATCCATTCAACACATCTAACCTCCTGATCACAGCCTCGCCTACATCAGTGTTGGGACACTCACATCCACCTGCAGTTAGTCAAATCATCCATCACAAACTGTTTTATAATCTGTTGAATCATGCAATTACTGAGTGACTGTAATCTCCCAAAATGCTGGCAACATGGTCCACTGTAGGGTACCTCAGGATCATCTTCCCTTGGGATCTTGGCTGCCTGGGAGCTGTGGCTCACTGCCACCACCCAGCCTCACAACAGAGGATGGTACCCTCTATTGCCAGCCTGGGAAAGAATCACAGTTCAAAATAAAAAGTACGGTCAAGTGCATACTGCTTTAACACCATTGTAAATTGATAAATCATGTCAAATCATCATCAGAGGTCATCTGTAAATTGTAAATCTGTAAATTGATCTGTCCATGGCAGATGTATCCATGGTCATTTAAAAAAAAGAAAAAGAAAGAAAAAAGCACAGCAGAGCACACCTGAAGCCCGGGACTCAGGAAGCTGAGATAGGAGGATCAAGTTCCAGGCCAGCCTAGGCAACTTAGTGAGGCCCTGTCTCACAACAAATAAAAGGGGGTCTGGGGTGTAGCTCAGTGGTAGAGCACCCCTGGGTTTACTCTCCAGTACACAGAAAAAAATACCTGTGAGCCAGGCATGGTGGACACCTGTAGTCCCAGCTACTCAGGAGGCTGATGCAAGAGAATCTCAAGCCCATGAGTTTGAGACCAGCCTGGACAACACAGCAAGATCCCATCTCAAAACAATTATATAAATAAAACTCAATTTAAGTTTAAGAAATATTTTAAAGGGGCTGGGGTTATGGCTCAGCGGTAGAGTGCTTGCCTTGCATGTGCAAGGCCCTGGGTTCAGTCCTCAGCACCACATAAAAATAAACTGAGTCCAACTACAACTAAAAAATAAATACTAAAAAAAACCACTTGAAATGTATGGTTTAAATAACATTCCAATTTTTATGGAATGATACTTATAAAATTGCTGATAGTGGAAAACTTTGGGAAAAAGGTTTTTACTTTCACTTTATATATTTTTGTACCATTATCACCTGGTCATTTATTTTAGTATTTTTTCATGTCAATGTTGAGTATAGAATATGAAACAATGGGAACTCATGCACAGATGGTGGGAATAAAGTCAGTATATCCACAATGGAGTTTTATTAAGCCACAAAGAAAAATGAAATTATGACATTTGCAGGAAAATTGATGGAACTAGAAACCATCATGTTAAGCAAAATGAGTCAAACTCAGAAGGTTAAGGGTTGTATTGTTTTCTGTCATATGCAGAAGCTAGAAAGGAAAAAAGAAAAGTGGGGAGGATCTCCTAAAAATCACAGGGGATCAGTAGAAAAAAGGGACCAGGGGTGGGATATAGGGCAGGAGGGGAGTGCTGGGGCGTGAGATAGCCAGTGTGTCGTTCTACCATGTGCATGGACAACTATGTGACAGCAA